GGCTTGAACAGAGATTTCTTGAGAGCCATGTAGAGATGGCAGTTTAGTTTTTTGTTTTCTGCAATATCATCACGCACTGCGGGTAGCAGCACTGTACAGAGGAATCTCTGAGCCATTGGTTCTTTCAGGTTACTGCAGAAGATGCGCGTGGCCTCCCTCGTTGCTTGCTTCGACCACATGGGAGGATTTGTCAGCAGCAGCACCTCCTCCCACGCATGCAACCGAGGTATTATTTTGAAGGCTTTAGGCACTTTCCCGCTTCGATAGCGCGCAAGGAAGGGCGCCATTGTCGTATACACCTCAACGACTTTGGGCGACAGACTGGACTCCATCTGGTCTTCCCCCTGTTTCTCAGATGCGCCTTCTGTTTGTTTCCTCAGCTGTTCCATCACAAGATCCGCCAAGTTGATTGTAGCTCGAGGGATCTCTCCAGCTTTTTGCTTGTAGAAGGCTGCATCTTCTTCGTCTTCCTCGCAGTCCAACACCACAAAGCCATCTTCGTCAGCCTCCTCTTCGCCAGAGACGTTGTCATCTTCGTCCGACCCACCGGCAATCCCCTCACTGCACAGTTACACAGCAGAGATTAACCCAAAATGCTGCAATGCGTCTACAGTGGTAGAATTACCTGGTTGTTGCTGGTAAGCAGAAAAAAGCGGCTCACTCTTTCTGTTGCTCTTCAACAAGCTTCAGCAGCTTCTTGCCCAGCTTCGCCGGTAGCACCGTATCCTCCCCTGCCTCTTCTCGAGTTGAGGCTTCAACCGTCTCTGCATCTTCAACCGCCTCTCTAATCTTCTTGTTTCGAGGCGCGTTTATTGCCCCTCCCGGCAGAGGAACGCCCTGAGCGTCCAAGACATCCTCGTGCAGCGGGTTGTGGCGGGGGGCGCCTTTGCGCCGTCTGCGTTCTGCTTTAAACCTGAGCACCAATGCATAAACAAAATAAGCATGATGTGAACTTTGGGTGCTTGGGATCTGGGTGAAGTGCTGAAGTAATGCCGTTCGGACTTGCACTGCAACTAACTTTCTAATGTGTGACAACACACAGGAAGGTGATGGGCCGCTGTCATCTTACATGTTACGGCGTCATGGGCTGTAGCCAAGAAGAGCAGTTGCGTCTATCTGAAACATTTAAACTCAAGAACAAGCAAAAAGAAACCTCCTGCGTGTGCCCGTCGGGGCAGCGAGTGACAGCGATAAACAAGGCCCCTAGAAGCCAGCAGTGAACTTGGAACTTCTAAATGTGAAAGTATAAACAGAGGCAAATGCTCTTTCTTGCAGGTAAGGACGGAAGGAAGTAGCGACAAGATATGCAACAGGCCATGTGGGGACTACAGGAGTCCCAGAGGCTCGCGGCAGAGCTGTGGGCTCTGGACGAAATAGCAGGTAGAGGGGAAAAAATAGACAAATGTATTTGTTTATAAATTCAAAACAAATACAAATTAATATTCTCGGGATTGTCACTCTCGTCACAAGACAGTAGCCGTAACCGCAATGTGGGGAGAAGGCGTTGGCTCTGCACCGAGCAGCATAGCGGCCAGCCCCTACCGATTGAATGGGGCCGTTTAGTACGTACAGACAGCTGGGTGAAGCCTCTTTTTTGCTGCATTTCTTCAGAGTTTGCCGACACTTTTTCTCTTCATTACATTACGAAGGAGAGCGAAAATGTCGGTCTCAACAGGCATCCGCGGTGCGTTTTTTCCCCGGCCAAGTGCTGAAGCCACGACCTCTTGGCACCCCACCCTCAGAACGCAACCTCATTTCTCCGTGTTTACCTCAAATCCAAATATACTTATTAGTATTATTGCGAACATTTTGGTTTAAATTAAATATGCATCTTCGCATGCGCCGAGCTCAGCAGCGAAGGAGGGTCCCATGCATGTGCATGTACCGCACTGCAGATTTACGGAAGCCAAAGCTTTCTTCGTAGTAGCTGGCGTTGTTGTTCTTGTGAATATGCATTTCACTGCTTGTTGTGGCGTTCACCAATGGCCTGCGTCACCCTGGCGGAGCTTTGTTTAGCTGTAGCTGCTGCTGCTGCAAGAGCAGAGGATGCATCGGGTGGTGTTGTGCCGCCAGCAAACAGCACGATGGGCTGCTTCGTGTTTTGCTTTTCTGGCACGTATTTGGCTTGTATTACATCAAGTTAGGTTATCCTTTTTTAATATGCGAATATATTCAACCCGAGCGTTGTTGTGGGTTTGTGTTTCTGCTGTTTTCAGTTGGCCTGAACAAGGGCTTCCTCGTGACGAAGCGGACGACACCGCCTCGTCCTTCCCGCAGAAAGGGGAAGAAGACGACTCGCGTGCAGGCCATTCGTGAGATCATTCGCCAGGTCGCTGGGTTCGCTCCATATGAGCGCCGTGTGTTGGATCTGATTAAGATTGGCACTGCAGCCACCACCAAACGTGCCCTCAAGTTCGCAAAGAAACGCCTCGGGACCCACAAGAGGGGAAAGGCAAAGCGAGAAGAACTTACAAACGTTGCAGCCGCCATGAAGAAGAAGGCCACCGCAGCATAAGGCAGCAGCCATCTGCAGGCACCTGCTGAGGGGTTGCGCCAGTAGGTGGCAGCCACAGGCCAACCGATGTCACAGCAGCTTTTCAGTTAAGCTGCAGCCGCATAGGGGCTGCAGGGTGGGCAGGGAGAACAGCGAAAAAGACATAAAAAAAGGGGTTTTGTGGAGGTTGAAGAGACCTAGTCGGCTCAATGCGTGTTTTTGCTGCATACTTACATTTCACGTATTCTCTCACGGGCTCAGTGCGTAGCGTTAAAATGCATAGATGCGTAAGTGCTTGATCGCATGATCAGCTAGTTTAGGCAGTCAAGCCGTGAGTATCCTAGTCTTTTATTAACACATTTCATCGTCAGTCAAGGATTCACAGCTCTCCCGGCCACAGTAGCTGGCTGGCTAGCTCTACACAGTGCTGCAGCGAAGGAAAATAAATGAACGAGTTTGTAGTTCGGAAACGGGCGTTTTCGGAACTGTTACAGAAGAAGCAGCGTCGGGGTCATTTTACACTGCACACTTAGCTGGTATATCCCATGTAGCGGGGCACGCGCGGAGGTGCGGTCAATACAGAAACGTGTTTCCTTGGTGGAAGGGGGGCTAACTAGGCAGCTGAAGGTCGAACAAGAAGCACTGAGCTCAAGTAGCTCACCCTGTACTGCGGGGAGCTGCACGAGCCAAACTGCATCAATTGTGCGTAGAAATGCAGGTATATGCATCTCTACCGTTGTAACATATGTTCCCAAGTAATGAAGTGTTCGTGTCAAGGTTTCTGAATAGGGGGTGCCTGCGTTTCTGTTGCCCGCCCATAAAGAACTCCTCTTCCCCCCCTACATATTGGGGTTAAAATCGGGACACTCTTTAGGATATCTATATGGTTGGCTTGGCTCAATAACTTTAAAAGTTAGCTCGTGGCGTCGCAGATTTCCCCACTACCGGCGAGGTGACCTCGGCGAGATCATCTGCTGCCGCTTCGAGGTTTGGAGAAACTGCGGGGAATTTGCATCTTAGGCCTATTGGGGCACTAATCATGCAAGGATTATAAGTGATTTACGTGCGTCTTCCGATATATCAAGGTGTGGGTGTACGAAATGTTGAACGAAAACTGCTGTGGGCGGGGTTCAGCAGTGGCTGCTGCTCGCGGCCCTACGGTGCACCCAAGGGGGCTGGAAAGGCGAAATAATTGAGTTTTTCTTTTTTTGTAAATGATGCGGAAGCTATAGGAGGGCTTCTGCTGTATGGAAGTACAGGCAGCTCCACAGCAGCAGCCTGCTGGATATTTCTTGGCGCAGGGTGGTGACCTGAACGCGCTGCATGCACGCAAGCCTCCATCCTTGGCTGCAGGAAAAGTAGTCTACGAAATTCACTAACATCTTTTAAAGAAATTTATCCCTAAATATTTGCCTGTTTTAAGTTGCTGATAGGGCGCTGGTGTGCCCATCCCTTTGCTGTCAACACAGCAGTGTTTTTCTGCAACCCGTCAACCCGTATGGCTGCTGCTCAACTTCCTGGCGAACTCGTCCCCATTATCGAGTGAAACCTCCATTATAGTGTGCTGTATAGCTTAGAATACCCGGCTAAATCCTGAAAGGGCTTAATTGTCTCCCTGGAAGCAATGCGGACATAGCGGACCGTTATGTGGGCATGGCCTTGCTGAGCAGAAACCCTCCAATTTAGGATTTCACCCATCCACCTGCACTTTTTAAGTCACATGAACATGAAATAGCAGTAGCATCAACACATGAACTAGGCTTTCCACCCGTAAAGCATCACAATGGCCCGCAAAAGTTTTCGCGTCTCGTCGCGAGCGGCGCCCGCGGGTGACTGGATTACAGAGATGATGCGGGCAATTGTCGGCGATAACGGACTCGACGCGTTGGGTGTATCGACAGAAGATGCAGGGAAAGCGGTCTGCAAGAACGTCTTTCCAGTCGTTAGAAAGCACATTGCTTTCATCATAGAGTACAATAACGCTTACTTTGAAGCAGCCCTCGTAGATGAAATCACTCAGGGAGAGGGGCCAATTGCATCTATGGAACTGCTGGAGAAAGTCAAAGAGGCATCGCAAAGAATCAAAGAACTTGTGCGTCTCCTGTCTCAGCACAGAGATCTCGGAACACGGTTTTGGCACTCAGTTCGGCAGAAGCCGCAGTTCACCGTTGCTCCCAATTCTGAAGGGTTGAGGTGCCTAGGTTTCAGTATTTATGGTTTAGGGTTTAGGTTTAGGAGTCTTAGGGGAAAGTTTCATAGTGTTGAGTGAGGTGTCACAAACTGTCCGCACTCCCAGTTTTGTACTTAAAGCCTTTCCAGTGCTACGTCCAAAAGGCTCGGGGTTCTTTGATGATACTGTACACGTTGACTTCTCTCAGCCTTTCATAAGAGCAGCGCAGTACATTTAGCGCTTAATCTATTCAGTGAAACGCTTCTTGAATCCATTGGCTCAGAGCGTTCGCATTTGCTCGTCACTTGGAGTGTGCAGACGGCACTGGTTGAAAGCCAAACTGAGAAAATGCGAGAGTTGGAAGCAAGCCTTGCCCAGGCAAATGAATTCCTCGACAAGGTTGAGAATGTAAAAGAAGATGCGCTGGCGGCAGCAGAGAAGAGCAGGGAGTTCGTACGTGAAACGATAACACAACTCTTCCGTTAGTTTCAGTCGCGTTTCCTGTAGTAGACTGCAGTTGAAGGTAAGCAATTACCCCAATACTACCGGAAACTATATGCTGCCTGCTGAGTGACAGGCGAAGAAAGAAGAAGAAAAGTTCCCCAAGACCAGCAAGGAGTTCATAGAGCGGCTTCGCCTAGAAGTGCGAGACGAAGTCGCCCTAGAGCTTGCTGAACAGGCGACGGCGGCCACCGCGGCTTCAAATGTAGAAACAGCTGAAAAAGAAATACAAACAGACCCTGTTGCATTAGACTCTCCTCATGACAGCGTGCCTTTAGCTCCAGATTCGGAGGCAAGCTCTGGCAATCAACCACTGACATCCGGGGACCGGGACCTCCTGCACAGCTGCCTCGCAGAAGTACGCAGGCTTACNGCTATTCTTTCGAACCAGGGTGCTGGCGGCTCGAATCTCGATGTAAGAATTCTTGCATTTCTTTCCTTCTCCCTAGCTGAACTAACGCCTTTGTATACAGGGGCTGCTGCAGTCGACCGCCGAGGCCCACTCCTGCTGAAAAGGCGAACTATCGCTGGTGCCCATTCCCTCCTCTATGTGGTGATAACCGAAAGAACAAATTGCACATTAGCCCCACTGCATGCAAGGGAAAGCGCATGCATGCAGGCTCATGGCGAGCTTGTTCATATATGGTCTTCTGCAAACGCAGGTATCGGTGAATCGACAAGGTGTCTCGTTACGTAATTCTTGTGTGGGTACTTCTGAGGGCATTCGAGGGGGGCACCAAGGGAATGTGTACGAACACGTGCCCTTGACAACGCTGCGTCTCAGCCCCATTTGTCGTGCACCTCCTGAAAGATCAGAACTCGAAAGCACCCGCAGCATTCTCCTCTCGGCGCCACTCTCGCCTCCCGGCCGTTTGTCGTTAGAGCAGCATTCAGACGATTACAGAAACGCAAGAGGCGTTGACTTCGGTTGCATCTGCCCAGCCAGTGAAGCTGCTTTCGCTGCTGCTGCTGCTTCTGCTGGGTCTTCCAACAGGCCCCCAGCGGCTGTTGAGACGGCTACGCTGCAGGAAACGCCACAGATGCAGACGTTTGTGCATTCGCATATGGTGTCGGCAGAACTGCCCGACGAGGTCAGCGTACACCCGACGCCAGAGTTCTCCCCTCTTGGTCCCTGCTCTCCAGCAGAAGGAAGCACCGCGTCGCTAGCGCTTTCGAGGGAAACATCAGCATCAGCTCTCAGAACACGCAAGTCACCGGCCGCCAAGGCACAAGGAAAGCTGCAAATATCATTTGCAGATGAACCCCTCTTCACCTCTGATCCCCCCGGCAGCTCCAGCGCCTCCTCAACCGTTTTCAACTTAACAGAAAATGCACAGCAGGAAATTGCATCTCCACAAGAACTACCAACGACAAATCAAGCACCAGCACTACATTCAAACGCAACAAGTCCTCTTCCGCCTGAACCCAATGCCGTCGCAGCCGAAGTTAACGCTGCTGCTGCTGCTGCTGCCCCTGCTCCTGCTCCTTCTCCACCTCCTCCTGTTGCTGCTGCTGTTCTAAATATCCCACAAAACGACACCTCCTCAGTGGGAACAACGACAGAGGGTACGGTGTGGGAAAACCTGCACAATATACGATGCATACAGACACACACCGAAAGCTGCAGCGTCACCCCCCAAAACATGTGCCTAGCTGGCTAGCTGGTTAGCTACCTAGCCGCAGAAGATACACCGCTGACACAGCGTCTAACACTCTAACCCTTCATATTCAAGAGAGCTCTAGGAACAGATGCCACGAATTCAGGAATGTCTGATACCAACACCCATCGGGGAGAGCCGACTGCCTCCAAACACTTTTGTATATATATATATATATATATATAT